CTGGCCCGGAGGTCCCGAGTAGAGAGGAGGCCCTTGCCTCAGGGCTCCCAGGACAGCCTGGCACCATTAGCCCTTGTCCCGCAGGAACGGCTGGAGGCCACGCGGCAGGCGTTATCCGAGGCAAGGAAGCAGAGCAGCTCCCTGGCCGAGCAGGTGCAGACCATGCGGGGTGAGCTAGCGGACCTGGAGCTGCAGCGGGCGGAGTCCGAGGGCCGGCTGCAACCGCTGCAGGAGGTGAGGGCCAGGGTGGCCCTTCCGTTCCCAGGCCCGTGAGGCCCTTGGCGTCGGGACCTTCTCACCTATCTCCACCTTAATCCCAAACCTAGGCCCAGCCTCCTGTGAGGAAGCATGGTTCACTCAGTCCATATCCCCATTATACAGATGGAGAAACTGAGGCCCAGAGAGAACTGTCTGGCCTCGGGTGACCATTCCCTGATGTGGGCCTCATAATAGCCTTACCTAGAAAGTGGGCCTGGCAGGCTGGCATCATCATCTCCAAGCTTCCAGTGCACACCCTGAGGCCCAGAGGGATTAGGGACTCGCTGGCTTCTGCTGCAGGCGCTGCGGCAACGGCAAGAAGGTGAGGCTGCGGCCCTACACACGGTCCAGAAGCTGCAGGATGAGCGGCGGCTGCTGCAGGAGCGCCTGGGGAGCCTGCAGCGTGCCCTGGCTCAGCTGGAGGCCGAGAAGCGGGAGGCGGAGCGCTCAGCCCTGCAGCTGGAGAAGGACCGGGTGGCCCTCAAGAGGATGCTGGACAAGGTGGGCTGTTCCCTAGGGCCCTCCCTTCACTTCCTTGGGTCCCAGCCCTGGTTGGTCCCAGCTGTGTGTCCCCAGGGTGTGGGGGCTGCAGGTCCCCCCGGCCCTGCTACCTGTAACCCAACACCCCTTTCTGAGCTGCTCCCACTTCCTGGGACCTCCCTCCTTCCCCGGGCACCCTGACCCCCTCCCACTCTCCCCACCTAGGTGGAACGGGAAAAGCTTCGCAGTCACGAGGACACGGTGCGGCTGAGCGCAGAGAAGGGCCACCTGGACCACACGCTCACAGAGGCTGAGTTGGAGCTGGCCGAGGCCCGGGGGCAGATCCAGCTGCTGGAGGTCTAGCCCCTGCCCACCCAGCCCTGGACACACTTTCTCTCCCCAGCCCTGGACCCAACTCCACCCCCACAGTCCACGAGCCCAGAGCCTTGGAGGGGGTGCCCAGAGCCAGGTCCCAGAGGGAGGGGTCCTCTCCAGAGTGGAGAGGAAAGAGACCTGTCAGCACACGTGCCTGTGTGCTCACGTTGGTTGTGGACGTGAAGAGCTATGAGTGTATGTGAGAGTATTCTTGCGCATGTAGCACGAATCTTGTGCATGGATGTGGCATATTTTAAGTATTAGGGGTATATCTGTATCTTTGTGTACAGGTCTCTTCTTGTATGTAGATGTATGTAAGAGTATTGGGCTTTTGCACATATGCATGCATCCATGTGAACACAGGTGTTTACATGCTTTCTTTTATCTATCTTATCTATCTCTATTTGTATACACGTATGGGCTTGTCTCTGTGTTTGAATATGTCTGTGTGTGTGTGTGCCTGAGGGGGGGTCACTAACTACCCTGACCCAGGATTTGCAGGCCAGGAGGGCTGGGGGGTGGGAGAAAAACAAGGGTCTCTCCTACATCCCCTGCTTTGCCCCAAGGGGCCCTCAGGCTCCCACCCCAGGGAGGTGCCTGACACCCTACGGCCAGAGGCCTGACCCGTGGGCCCTCCTGCAGGCTCAGGTGGCAGCACTGCAGCAGAACCACAGCCCAGCGCGGCTGGAGGTGGATGAGCAGCGGCTGGAGCTGCAGCAGGAAGTGGATCGCCTGCGCAGTGCCCAGGTGCAGACGGAGCGCACCCTGGAGGCGCGGGAGCGGGCCCACCGGCAGCGGGTGCGTGGCCTGGAGGAGCAGGTACTCAGGCCTGGTGGGCTCTGGCCCTTCCCCACGGGGCGGCAGCATCTGCAGGACTCCCCCTTCAGGAGGCTGGGCCAGGATGGAAGTGTGGAGCTGGGGGAAGGGGGCGGAGGAGGAGGAGGGGGCGAGGGAGAGGAGGAAGTGGCAGCAGGGAGAGGGCTGGCAGTAACCTCTTGGGTATAAGCGGTCAATGGCACCCATAACTGAAACGGTCAGGGTGGATCTGTGCTGCTATGAGCCATGGCTGGACACAGGGGCTCAAGTGATGTCATTGGAACTCAGTCCCCTTGCCACGGCTCCATGCCCGGGCAGGCCGTCTCCCCGGCTGCCACAGGTGGCCTCAGCAGCTCCAGCCTCGGGTTATCCTAACAACCCGTGATCCCAGCGGAGAGGGGGGCCCTTTTCCCTGAGATCAGCAGCACAAGTCCCAAGGATGAGCCTCACTTGGCCAGCTGAGACCGCAGGCCCCCTCGTGACCGTCTCTGTCCTGATCATGTCTGCAGGGCAAGGCTGCTTTGGTAGGCCAGGCCTGGGTCACAGGTCCACCCCTGGAGTCCAGCTAGCTCCAGGCCTGGCCTAGTGGTGAGAGTGGGGATGGGTGGCCCCCAAAGAGAGGCCGAGCAGTCTGGAGACACCTCACTGCTCCATGGAGCAAAATGAGAAGGGGAGGAAATCCCCTGGCTCTTAATGACACCTGGTTTTTCTGAAACAAGCAGCACTGGGTTCCTTCTGGTGTCCTTCCATCAATCACACCCCACCCCCGCTGCCCCGCTTTCTCTGAACCCAGGCTGGGGTCCTGGGCTGGCCCTACCGCCTCTTTCTTCTCCAGGTATCCACACTGAAGGGACAGTTGCAGCAGGAGCTTAGAAGGGGCTCAGCTTCTTTCTCCCCCTCCTCCGGCCCCCCAGAGAAGTGAGCACCTTGCTGGCTGGCATCCTGGAGACCAGCCCCGTGGCCGGGGCGGGACAGGGGAGGGGGGGCTCCGGCACCAGGCCAGACCCTGCAGCGCCCTCCCAGCCTCGTCAGAGCCAACCACCCTCTATGGGCTCCCCACTCAGTCCAGCCCCCTCTCCCCCAGGATGAGCCCGTGTGAGGTCCCCCAGGACAAGTTTGAGGTCCTCCTTGAGTGGCTGAGCCAAAGCCAGGGGTTGGAGAGACCGCCCCCCCGCCCCACCCTTGTCTGTGGCCGACCCTGGAGCACAGGTTCACGGGAAAGAGAAGGGATGTCCAGGCCTGGGCAGGGGACCTTCTCTGGCTTCCCAGAGATCTCTTTGCCTTAGTTGAGAGCATTTATCAGGAAATTCCTCAGAGTTCAGACTCCCTGTATTTTTGTACCTTTTTACAATGTTAACTGTTCAGAACTGTTTTGTGTTTTTTGTAACAAGATGATCCCATTTAAAAAAAGACAGTTTGTACAGATGTGTCCCTTTACTATTAATGTGCCTTCTCCACCTGGGAGACAGGAGGGGGGACAAGAGGGCCCTGGGGCCAGAGGGATGGGGTCCCCTAGTGGGTGCTCAGGGAGATGGGGGCAGCTTTTGAAAGGCCTGTGACGAAACGTAAGGAACTTACCAACCTCACAGGATGTAGGGATGGGGAGGCCTCCAGGGTCCTGGGCCACCCACCCCATTTAACAGACGGAGCTGTTGAGGTTTGGGATGGGACCCGACCTATGCAGCTCGACTCTTTCCAGCTGAAGCTTTCTGCCCTTTTCTCTGGCTCCTCCTCAGGACAGGGCCCGCCCTCTGGACAGTAACAGGCATTCCAGGCGGTGTGGTAAACAAGTGCAGGGCTGGGAGTGGACGTGGGGTCTTGCCTTGGCTCCGCTGGGTGATCCTGGGCAAAGCCGCTTAACCTATCAGAGCCTCAGTTTGCTCCTCTGTAAAATGGGAACCTGCCTCCCAGGGTGGTTATGAGGAAGTACACACAGAAGATGCTCAGTCAGTGTTTCCAAGGAGAAATTCCATTCATCTCATGGAGTCCAGTGGAGTCAGGTTCCACCCCAGCCCTGCCACTTACCACTGTGGACCCTTGGGTGGCTTACGTAATCTAGGCTTAGTTTCCCTGTCTGTAAGATGCGAATATTAACTGTACCCACCACATAGGCCTGGTTGGAGGGATAAATAGGCCTGTGTGCTGAGCCTTCAGACAGAGCCTTGTCTCCATATGCTGGTCAGAGGGAGGTGTTGTAACAGCTTGCCCTGTTCCTGCCCTCTGAACTGCACCAGCCTTCCCTCCTGCCAAAGCCCTTGATATCAGAGTCCACCAACCTTGACCTCCTGCCTTCCACCCTATACGCTTCCACATGGGTGGCCTCTCATCTTGCCTTGCACCCTTCTCTGGTGATGGGGCACTCACAGACTCACCAAGCAGCCCTGACAATGAGGACGCTATATTCCTGAACCTTCTATTTCTGATACAACAACGCGCACACGCGCACACACACACACCCTGGGGGCGGGGGGCAGTTGTCATGGCCCATCTTTCTGGGCAGGTCAGAGCTGAAGCGGGTGGATGAGGAGGCAAGGCCACAGGTCACCTGAACCTACCCTTCTCTCGAAGGGGCCTGGTAGCCTCTCCGTGAGGACATGCAGTGTTGAGGCACCTGGCCATCTCCTCTGTGCCCTCAACCGAAAAAGTGACTCTGAATCTTTTGTAAAAACCGGTTTTTAATTTTGTATAAAACAAAGGTGGTCTATGCCCAGGGGCTGTAGGAAATCCAAGCAGACCAGCTGGGGTGAGGGTCATAGCCTACCTTGGGGGTGGGGCTGGAGTGGGGGACTGTCCTCAGAGGGATGGAGAAGGCACATCAGGGGCCCAGGTCCCACAGAGAGGCCTGGGATGTCCCCCACCTGGGGGCGGAGACTGGACACTGGGGAGCCCCCTTTGTGCCCCAAGGGTGGCCACAGGCTGGGGGAAGGGCCTGAGGCAACCCCCGGCGCTGCAGCCACTAACTTTTTACGGGATAAAAGGAACGTCTGGCTGGGGAGAAAAGCACCAGGTCAGGCAGAGCCTGAGGGCCCCAGATCCGAGGAGGGTCCAGGGCTTGGGGTGCCAGTTCCACCCTAGCAGCCCCCGCAGCTCCTGGCACAGGAGGCCGCCACAGATTGGCACAGGCCGCTGCTGGCCATCACGCCACATTTGGAGAACTTGTCACGACACAGGTCAGCTGTTGGGGGTGGCAGGAAGGAGTGGGGGTCAGGGTGCGGCTAGGTGATGGGAATTGCTACCCCTTCCCCAACCGTGGTGATGGGGGATGTTCTGAGGATAAAAAGCAGCCGGGAGGGGAGCTCAGGGTTCCCCAGAAGTGGCCCTGGATTGAACACATGTTTAATAAACATCAGATGGGTGGACGCGTGGATGGATGATGAGTGGGCATGGGGGCAGGGGAAAGGAGGGTGGAGGCCTTCCTACCTCGCAGGAGCTCCTCGTGGGCACAGACCGTGCGGACACAGATTTCCTTGTTGATGACATACACACGGCGGAGGCTGAGGGGGACAGGGCCGGGGGAAACGTCAGCCCCATCCTCATCCGGCCCCATGGGAGAGCCGGAGACCCAGCCCCTAGGCCTGGGCTTAACCAGAGTTGAGCTCAACCTTGGGATTCACTAGCTTTCCCCACTCCCACGTCGCCGGCTGGAGCTGTGGTCCCCCTCGCTCCCCTGCCAGCCCTGTCCCCCCAGCCCCTGCCTGCGCTCACCCATAGAAGCAGACCTCGTTGAGACACTGTTTGCAAGGCTTGTGTATGGAGTAGAGGCGGGTACACGGGTACTGCTCCTCGCGGCAGTCTGAGTGACAGGTGGGGTCAGACTTGCGGGGGCGGCAGCTGGGGGCTTAGAGCTGGGTGGCAGCCCCCAACCGCACCCATGGGAGACTGGCTCTCAGGGCCTAGGTACCCCTGTCCCCTCAGGCCCAGCCTAGACCTGCGTGCACACACCAACACACGCACACACGAGCACTGTTGGACCTTGCGAGGCTGCCCAATTTGATCCAGTATATTTATACATATACAAATTCACAACCACGCTTGGAAGCATATATTCAAACACAAATCTATACCCACACACAGTCACAAAAGTCCACAGCAGCCTCACAGGAGGTCCGCACACTCACACGCTGAGCTGTGAGACAGGGTCCCTCACACACAGGCTGGCTCTTGGGCTCTTGGCCAGGGGAGGCCCGCTGAGTCGGCCTGGGCTTCCTGCCCCATCCTTGTCTCTCCTGCCGCCGAGCACCACCCCGTCCTGCCCCCAGCGTGCTCCCGCCCCGCCCCAGTGTCTGGGAGTAGAGGCCCCCTCCTGAGGCTGCAGCCAACTTGGCCTCCAGCTGGGCCCAGAGGGCAGGGGGATCTCCCAGAGCTGCCTCGGGGGGGCCCTGGAGTTGCCAGCCTAAAGCAGGGGCACCTCTGCAAAGCCCCTCACCCCACCATCTACCCCAGCGAGAGCAAAAGGCCTGGCTTTCTCTGTCCTCCCAGGGCCGCAGGCCACTGCACCCTAACTTCCGGGGCCATGCCTCTGTCCCTACAGTTGTCAGGAAGGTTCTTACCCAGAGGCCCAGGCTCCGTGGGCTCCGTCTCTACAGTTCCTGGTTCTGGTGTTGGGGGAGAGGCAGGCAGAGATCACTGGGACGGGTCTATTCAGGGCAGGGTGAGGTCACCTCTCCCAGCCCCGGACAGACCTCCCCACTCCCGGGGCTGGCTGGAGCTGGTGGCCTACCTAAGGTGGGAGCTGGGATGACTTCCTGTTGGACTTGCTGCTGGGACTGGAACTGAAACTGCTCCTCCGGGGGCCGAGGAGTCACCTCTGCAATGAGAGACGATGAAAGGGTCTGCTCCCCTGCTCCCATCGCCCGCAGGTCTCTGTGGACTGCCCACCCAGCTGCCTGCCCATCCTATCCTGCCCTCAGCCCTTTACCTTGATAATCATAGTAGTCCGGGTTGTCTGAAAATAAAGATGAATGTGGAATTGGTGGGGGTCAGGCTAGCCCCCAGCCCCAGGTCACACTGAGCCAGGGACCATACCCCAAGATTCCCATCGCCCTACCACCCCACCTGATCCCTGGCTGAGCCATGCAGATCCAGGGAGCAGGGCTGTGGGGGAGGCCTGGGGGCGGACAAGGCGCTTACCGATCTGGTCGCTATAGTGGGTGTACTGGACGTGGTCTGGGAACGGAGGCAGCGGATCCAGGTCATACTGGCCCTGAGCCAGCAGGCCTGCTGTAGGGAGGCAAAGCTGAGGGGACGTCCAGAAGGGAAGGGCAGCAGAGGCCCCAAAGCACTTCTGGGGAGGGTAGGTAGAGGTCCCTAGGGCAGGCCTGTAAGACCCTAAGATCCACAACAGACTCTAGACCCATAGGAAGCAAACGCCTTCCTTGACCATAAAGGCCCTTATGCTTCCTGGTCCTGTGTCGCCTCACGGGTCATATCCCGCCCCTCTCCCCCAGGTCGGCCGCTGCCTGCCCCAAGGCCTTTGCACTTGACGCTCCCTGGGCCTGTCATCCTGATTCGTTTCTCCTCCTTCAAGTCTCAACTGAAATTTCAGCTCTGCTAAGAGGCCCTCCCTGGCCCACCCACACTCTCCATCTCATTCTGTTAATTTCCATCATAGCACTCAACATAATCTGACACTTATCACATCTCCCTTCCCTAGACTGGCAGGCAACACCATGAGGGCGGGGGTCTGTCTTCCTGGTTCATCACTGTGTTCCCAGGGCCTAGCCCAGTGCCTGGCACAAAGTAGGAGCTCCACAAATATCTGTTAAATTAATGGATGTTAGACCTGGCAGGGCCTTTGGGGTCCCCACTGATAACTCCTCATTTTGACTAACAGGGACTTCTCCAAGGTCAAGACTGTACAGGTTAGTTGGGCCCCAAAGGGGTCTAGAACCCAGGCCTTCAGACTCCCTGCCTTAGGGGCCTCCATTCCTGCACCTCAGCTCCTGGGAGGGTCAGCAAGTAAGAAGAAAAATGTGGATCCTGGTGTCTGGGCCCACTCTCCAGAATCCTGCCAGTCTGCTGCTGTGGAGGGTTGAGGAGGGGCCCAGGAGATGCCTCTAGTCTTTGGGAGGGGTTGCCAGCCCAGTCTGTGGCCCAAGAGGTAGATGGCCCTGGGAGCGATGGAGCTGAGTTCTGGCCATAGGTCACGACAAAAGCTTACTGCCAGCTCCCTCCCCCTACAAACCCCAGTTCCACCCACATAAAGGGAGCCCCACCCACCTAGGTGCCACTTACCAGGCAGGAACAGCAGGAAGAGGTAGGCAGCTCTCATGGTTACACAACGAGGCGGGCCGGACTGGTGTCAGGGGACAGCTGGAGGAAGAGGAAGGGGCAAGCTGCATCCCGGGCCACTACCCCAGGGCTGCAGAGCCCACTTCTGCTCCCCCGAATTCAGCCTGGAGAAGGAGGGATTCGGAACAGAAGCCAGGCAGGTGGAGGGTCATGGAGTCTGGGCCCAGGGGGAGGGGACTACTTTGGAGGGACATCCTCTGCCCCTGATGGCCCACTGGGTGTTCAGGTCCCGAGGGACTCGGCCTCCAACCTGGCTCCAGAGCTGATCTTGACAAACAGACCCTACCCTGCCCTGCTCACTAAATGGACATTTCTAATCCTCTATCAGCCCTGCCCCTGCTCTCCTTGCCACAACCCATGCCCACCCTCTGGTTCAGCACTTCCCCAGGTGTCTAATGCACTGATCCTGCCCCCAGGCCCATCCTCGGGACCCCACCCCTGCCCAGCCAACATCGCAGCCCAGACTC